TATGGTGTGTGATCATTTCACTTGATTTTTTTTTTTTTTTTGGGTGAACAAGGAGTGACTATTATTATATTTGGCTGATGTTTAATGAACTTTTCATTTCATATGCTAGTTCATTTGTAGTGATATGTCTCCCAATGCAGTTCAAAGCAGAAGATTCTTGCTTAACCTATCCATCCATGATATACTTAAAAGTGGACATAATTTTGTTTGATTATATATTTCTAATATTTATTTCCATATTATAAGCAGTTGGTTGTTGATAGGGTGTAATGACCTGATGCAATCCATGGAACTGATTCCACTTTGTGGGACAAAGGCTTGTTGTTGTGGTATTTTATTCCTAGTTTTCTATGCATTAGTGAATAGGAAAGTCATACATATTGGAAAAGATATACAAGTGACTAGTAAATGGCAACATTCTGTTGTTTGCTGCAATTTTTATTTTTCATGCCCCAATTTCAAGTTGTAAGGTCTTACTCTGCAGCATAAATAGTTCAGACTTTAGACATTTATAAACCTGTTTGAATTCTAATGCTGAGAATTTGGGAATAAAAAAGAACAGATTCATTGTTGGAATCATGGTGGAGATTATGGTGAAAGACAAAAGCAACTGTACAAGCCCTAAGCAACTGGGTGAATATGATAGAAACAAATGAGAAATTAAGCAAACCTTTTCCCTTTTCATTTTTCATTGAAATGTGCGTTAGAACCCCATAAATTTGAAGTTAGACCATATGAAACTTCAAAATTATGAGATAGATCCCCTCTAAACAGGACAATTGAACTTCTTTCTGAAGTTTTGTTGAGCATATTTTTATCAGTTTTTGGGTGGCTTTTGTGTGAAATTTTCATTTGCATTGTGTAAAATGATTCATTCTGTTTTACATACTTGCTTATTTTAATAACTTGCAGAGCCTTGACGAGATTATAGATAAATCACTTCAAAGACAAGATGGCTCAAGTACATGTGAGGACTTTGTTAGTTTGGCTCAATCATGGCTGAGCAAAATTCAGGTGTCATGATATGGGCCTTTGCATCCTTCGTGTTAATTATTGTACTTCTCTCTATTAACTATTGAATGCGTTGTCTAACTGCCCTGGCGGATGAAAAGAACATAATAGTGATTGATTAGAGAAAGTTGGGGATGTTAATATAATCCATTAAGCCTTTTCCTCAGAATTTAAGTTGTGTGTTAATTAGTCTTTCTGTACACTGTTTGTATATGCTGTGCTTTTTCTACATTTCAAGTTCAAAAAGGCTTTTGTCTGTGAACATGCGTGTTAAAGATATTAATAAAAAGTAACCTTCTCCTAAAAGCTTTGACCATTGAGATATTTGGTCTTTGACGGTGAGAATGGCAAGTATTGGTAAACTTCAAATTTTTTTAAGTTTATTTTGAACTTTCACAATTGTGAAAGGATATTTTCTTTTTCTTTTTTTTTTTTTTTTTTCCTTTTTTAGCTATAGGAATGAATTTTTGATATAATTTCATGCCCAGTAGCTGTAGCTGTGAGATTTTAAGGCCAGAGATTAGGACTGAAAATAACTGAAATAATTAATACCATATGTTATTAATAAAAGTAGAGCCAGCACATATATTTATAAACTGAGAGAACTAAGACAGAGGATAACAATTCTCCTGATGTTTGGTCGGCAGAGAGAGGAGAATCAGAGAAAGAAAACCTATAATATATGATATGCGATCACACAGTTGACTACCCACAAAATGAGGTAAACAATATAAATTTGTTATTCCCTTGGAGGAAAATTAGGGGCCTGCATATTGCATAAAGGCATTTTAAACCAAGGCGATGAGAATCAGAGGGCCACGGGATGATTTCTTATAGGAATAATGTTATTCCAAGTTAAAATTTTGCCATGGGACAGTGAATCCTTGGGAAAAAATTCTAGTCCTTGTTCCTCATTGTGAAAACTCCCTTAAACTATTTTTCTCACAATGGAAAAAAAAGGGAGAAGAAGAAGAAGAATCGTTTTGTCCAAGGTTGTCGATGATGACTATCATTAAGAAGAAGAAGAAGATCGTTTGGTCCCAAGGTTATCAATGATGACTATCATTCTAGCATCTCTTTATCTCTGGCAGAGTTACCGGATGAAAGATAAATTATGTGTGTGAGATATGGATGTTTATACTTTGCAGTGGTCAAATTCACTACGTGGCAAATTTGGTGAGACTAATCAAAGTGAGCTGGCAGCATTCACATCATATGCACTGGCATTTCCTGATAGCTTTTCTTGCCCTCGTAGATACATATGATGTAAGTATTTTCATTATAAGTTTCTATTTCTTGCAACTGCAAATAGTCATATAAATTGTTGGTATTTCTTTAGCTTGAAATGTCCAAAAATTGTGGGAAAATCCTGCAAATCTCTCATGATGCCCTATGTGAACTAGTTTCACACAGAAAATTGCTGTAGCCTAATATAGGAGACTCTGTTAAAATAGTAAAGATGCATAATTCATTGAGAAATATTCTTGTGGAGTCTGATTACGATTCAGCTTCAATGCTTGAGATATTCATAATTTTTAATATTCTTAATCACCGATGCAGACCTGTTCCTATCACTTATCTTCTCAGGGGTTAAAAAGGAAAAGTAATTATACTTGCAAGAGTCCACTATATTTTGACATGAAAATTGGTCCTTATGGTGTGTCCTAGAATTTCGCTTGATAGAGATGAGTGGATAGACCAGGTAGTTCTTCTTGACAATTACCAATATTGATCTCAGGTAAGTGTAAACCTCAAGTACAAATGAAGATAGTCTAACTCAGGACAGGTTGGTCTTTGTCCACTATACAGATGCTGGAGAACAGATGTATAACAGCTGGATGGCATGTATGATAAGTCATACTTAACCTTAAGTGGTGTGATAAGCATGTGACTCATGAATTTTTAATACATAAACATCACTTCTGCTTGCTAAATCAATCTATCTCATATCTTGATACTGAACATTGTTAACTGTGCAATCTCAGAAACTATAATTTCCAGTTATTGTCACCTGTCTAGCAATATCTTTTGTTGGCAGTATGTTTAATAGCAAGTTTTAAAGTTCCTTGGATTTTACTTTGTTGGTCATTCCATTTTACCATCATCCTAATTTTTATTTTAGATTTTCTTCAGTCAATGAATTCACATTTATTTTGACAGGTTATGAGAAGTGGAATCCCAAACTTCTGTGCGGTTGCACTGGCTCTTCATGACTTAGGGTATGCCAGGAAGTTTTTTCATGTTTAAATTTTACTTAAATTAACATTTTACATTAATAAAAAGAACCTGTTATTTCTTTGCTATTCCAGTTAATTTCGACTGATAGAGATTAAATCTTTTTTGGCTTTTTTTTTTTTTTTTGGTGCAAATGAATCAAGAATCATATGCTAAATTACAAGGCACGATGACAGAAACGAGTAACAACGATAGAGTGGCTGCAATAACATCAATTATGGTGATGATTAGAATTCACATCATTGCCTATTATGTTACATCTGAACTTTTATTCTATATATGCAAGATTTTGCACAGAATAAAAGGCAGTGGTCCTTTTCCCCCTTTTCTTGAGTCTGCCTAATCGGGACAATAAATATATAAAATTTGCTTATGTTTTACTTGATCTCGAATTGACTCTTAGAAACCTAACCTTGCAGCTAGAGATTTTGTAGAATCATGAAACCTGTCATGTAAAAAACTTTCAATCCAGACTTAAAATCTCCTTCATTGCTAGCTTCTAGGTTGCTTTTGAAGCATTAATGAATTGGTTACTCCTTATCTGAGCTTAGATGATGTCTTGTATAGATAAAAGCAATTGGAATTAGATTGGACTCTGGCGATCTGGCATATCTGTCTTGTGAGGCGAGAAAATTCTTTTGCTCCATTGAGAAGGAATTCAAAGTGCCTGGTTTTGGAAAGATGGGCATCACTGCTAGTAATGACCTCAATGAGGAAACATTGGATCTTTAAACAAACAGGTAATAGTTCATTTCAGACTGCTGGATCTTGTAACTTCTTCCCTTTTTCAGGATTGCTAGGTTTTCTGATGTTTAAAAGCTTGTGCTTTTTTAACCCTGCAGGGTCATGAGGTTGATGCCTTTGGAATTGGGACATACCTGGTTACGTGTTATGCTCAAGCTGCTTTAGGTGTTGTTTTCAAATTGGTTGAGATAAATAATCAGCCTCGCATCAAACTTTCCGAAGATGTTTCAAAGGTTTGAACATGTGGAACAGGACATGTCAGTCAATCATCCATTCCTCTTTATTTATAATTTTTTCTCTCCCTTTGTCCTTTCTCTGGCTTAGGCTCTATTCCATGCAAGAAAAGATGCTACAGGTTGTATGGAAAAGAAGGCTATCCCATCGTAGACATAATGACGGGGGAAAATGAACCCCCTCCTAAGGTATTTGCAGGCCACCTTATTTAACGTATGTTTGGGGATTGAAATAATTATTCTTAGCATGCTTAGGGAGTTGCCTGCAACTTTTTTGTTCCTTGAGGAACCGATCAAAGCCTACATGCACTGAGTGATTTGGATGTGAATATCATAGAAGTAAGAAACCACGTATTACCACTCTTAGTATAAAATCAATAACGGGCACAGGGCCTTTACATTAGTTTGGGTCATCTGGTGCTTCCTGGAGTTTCAAATCTCTTGACCTGTCGCCTCAACAGCCATATGATTAAGAGTTGATTTCATATATTTACATCAAGGTAGGCTTAAACATCTTGTTAACATTTTAATTATTTGTAGGTAGGAGAAAGAATCCTATGCCGCCATCCCTTCCAAGAATCCAAGCGAGCATATGTGGTGCCACAGCAAGTTGAGGAGCTTCTAAGGTGTTACTGGCGCGGGAGTTCAGGTGAGAGAACAAAAGATTATGGAGATAAATATCAATAACATACTTCACAACGAACATATCTCATTGGAAAAAAATTCGGAGTTACTCCTTGGAAAATTATTTAATGGCTATTAATATACAAGTAAATCAACTTGCTTGTCAAATTTTTGCTTTTGTGTGGGTAACATACGGCTACTTGGTTCTTGAAGAAAACACGAGAGAAATTTTACCACCTTAAAGGACATTAGAGAGCGTTGCATTAAACAACTGGAACAAATGCGACCTGATCACATGAGGAGACTTAACCCGACGCCATATAAGGTCATAAACTGTCACCTTATCCCATATTATCTCTATCATTGACATCTTTATGATTCTGAATTTATTCCTTCCGAAGCAGGTTAGTGTAAGTGCCAAGCTGTATGACTTCATTCATTTTCTGTGGCTCAACGAGGCACCAGTCGGAGAGCTGCAGTAATAAGGTGAATAAAATGGCATGCCTTGTGGACCGATTGATCGTGGCCTAAGGTTCTGGTAGGAATGGGAAAAATAAATCCTTTCATACAGTCATGATATGACTGTCTTCAAATTCAAAGTGCTTTTAGATTGTATGATTTCATTGTCCCAAATAAATGTATGTTTTTGTCCCCGGTAAATGTATGATTTTGTACCTTTGTAAGTTTTTTTTATTCAATAAGAAAATTTAGGGTTGGAAATTTTGTTTTGGGGCTTGAAATAACGAGGTTCTTTACGCTAATCTGGGTGAGCCTTCAAATGGGATTAAGGATAAGGATGGACTTAAGATTGGCTAGTGTGTAATCATCATATCGTAGTGATGGTAATGATATGTTATCATGCCAATAAAAATATGTTTGACACAGTTTTTTTTAATATATATATATATATATAGTACAAAATGATAATAACAATGAAAGATAGTCACGCTGGAGGATATGTTCCCATTGAATTTAGTAATCCTGTTTTTGTTTGGCCGGAATTGAATTTAATAATACTTGAATCTAGTCTTGATAATATATTTTATCACATCAATGTGGGAAAGAAAAAAATGTCGATTATAAATTAGCGATGATAATAAAAAAATGAAAAGACAATAATTTTAGGAATCGTAACCTTGAGTAGCGTGATACTTATGCATGGGGAAAGAAAAAAAAGACAGCAGCATTTATATATTATAAAGATAAATGATTTGATTTTATGACAACACTGATAAAGTTAAAATTCTTCGATCTCTAAAACGGCAGCTTATCAACGAGCATTATTTCCAAATTATTTCTAACGGAAGGGGTTATGACTGTTCATGAGGTTTTGAGTTTGAATTTATGTGAATGCTTTTTTGAAACCACCCCTTGATTAAGCTAACAATACTCAAATATGATTCAATCATATAATTATTTTGAATCATAATATATGATATCTTATAAAATTTTTATTCGATTCAAAATATAGAGTATTGGGTAACTTTAATAATTATTTTTTTAATTATATCTCTATTTTATTTATTACTCTTTTTGAAAAAAATGATATAGTAAAATTTTAATTATCATTATTAAGGAACTTATATAGGGTATTTAATAATGTTACAATTAAAATATTTAAATTTTTTTAAAAAATTAAGATTTCAATTAATTTTTTAAAATTATAAATTAATTACTAATGTCCTGTATTTTTTTTATTAGAAGGAGGAGCTTATTTGTGGCCCCGGGGCGGGGGGGAAGACAGATAACTTTCAAATGATTGGGAGGGAAAATACCTCTAATGCATTTGCAATTTAGTAGAGGCTGTAGTAGTCATAACTTATAATAAGACACGTGCAAAATAGAAGGATTCAAAATTATATTTTTTTAATATTTATCACTCGGATGTTTATCATGGCATGTGAATGAGATTACCGCTATTCTTTTTCATCATAAATTGCCAATTACTACTTGGCCCCTTCCATTAAATCGTTGTGATAAGAAGCACAACAAACAGATTTTAGGGAAACAACATGGAATCCAAGCACATCTACGTTCAAATATCAATGGTCCAAGAACTTGATAATTTTAATTAATTTAATAATACTTCTACATTTTTAAATGAGAGTAAAACAAATCATCTGACAAGTTTAATATTTCTACATCGACAGTTTACATTATAAACTTTTCTTACTTGAAGTTTTCTATAAATATATATATATATATATATATTTTTGTATATATGTATATATATGTATATATGGACTTTTTATATTATAGAATTTGAGAAATGAATTGCATTATCCCTCACATTTTAAATAGAACAATCTACTATGCGTTTTTATTTGTTACTTGATGACTGGACTAGACTAAATGGGGCTTCGTTTGCTGCTCAAAAAACTCAACCAGAGAGCCATCATTGGTTAAACGGCTTTAATTAAAAAAAAGGCATGTCCTTATAAAAATTTTACCATTTTGTATTGATATTGATTAAAAAAAAATCATCTTTGCTTTATACGGTATGATAAATGATAATTTTATATATTTTTATTCTTTTAATTTAGACTTTTAAATATTTATTTAAGGCTAATTGAGTTTAATTAGATATTATTTATTTTATTAGCTAATATTCAGTTTTGGAATTTTAATTAACTAAATCTTTGATTTTAAAATATAAATAATATCTTTAATATTTTTGCACAGGTGCTATTTAATTTTATTTTATTTGTGCAGATTTCTTGGATTCAATTTGGAAGATATTGATAGAGAATATTTTGGATAAGAAGAATCTGGGCATGCTTGGAGATCAAATCAAGAATTAAATCTTTAAAATTTTGTTTAAATTTACTTTGGGTATCTTAGTGTAGTTTTTAATTAGGGTTATTTAGGATAATTTTATCATTTTAGTAAATTATTAGATTTTATTTTCTTTTGGGAGAGGCGCATGACATTATACATGTATATATATATATATATGAAAGAGAGGAACGAACGCGGGACGGAGGCATCACTGGACGAATTGAAAAAAAGAAAGAACCAAAGGCATCACGGAAAAAAATCACAGGATAGCAGCGATTGCAGTTCACTTTTTCTTCGATTCCTCCAGCATGGCTTCTCAATTTCTTATCTTATGTTGTTTGATTTTTAGTTCTATGGAGAGCTAATTTTCTTGGTGTGATCAATCACAAACTGTGATCCTAAATTTTAATCAGAGTCTTTAATATTCAGGGAAGATTTTATTCTAACTTTATTTCAATTTACTCTTCTTCTCTCTACCTCTAAATTTTATGCCTTAATTGCTATTGCTGATTAGAGTAGCTCTACTGCATAATTTTTGGGTTATAAATTTTATCTGAGGTTTTAATTGCTATAATCGATTGATATAGCATTGTAAGAGTAATTTGGCTTGGCTTGGGTGATTATCCATGCTTTGTTTTTAGTGTGGCTATAAAACAATTGTTAGGTTGTGGGTTAAGGGAGATTTCAATTAATCTATAACTTAACTTCTTGTTTAATTCTTGAATGATAATTTGAGAAATATATAATGAAACCAGAATAATAAAGTTGAATAAAATTAATTTATTTTGTGGACGAGTAAGGTTAAATTTAGGTGATTGGGTTGTGATTGATTGCGCTGCTTATTCTCGGTAATTTTCTTAGTTGAATTTCCTCTATTTATTTATTTCTAATTTAGTTTTTAATTTTATCAAAAAAAACCCCCCATTATTTACCTTTTCATAATCATAATTCAAATAGTTACTCTATTGACTCTTAGGGAGACGACCTAGGTTGCATTTTACTGCAAAATCTAGTTTTTATTAATTTTGGTGCTATTCGACAGTAGTGTCAAAATTTTGGCGCCGTTGCCGGGAAGTCAAAGGTGTTAACTTTTTGAGTTTGGTTATTAATTTTTTTTTTCTTTCTCATTATTTTTATTATTTTTATTTTTTTTTCTCTAGTATTTTTTATTTTTTTCAAGATTTATTATTATTTTTTGTCTTTACTTGTTTTAGGTGTTTTTCATTGTTTTTTTTTCCAGTTTATTAGTGCATGACAAGATCTTTACAAGATAAATTAATTGATTTGAACTCTGAGATTGAGAGAACTTGTCGTAATAACTGTAAGAATCAAAAGCACCATAAAATTAGGGATAGTGTTATTTCTGAAATTTTGTCTGAATTGATTGATAGCGTTATTAGTGATTCTGAATCTAACTTAGACTCTACAGTTAAGTTGGAAAACATGGCTGAAAATAATAATGGTAATAGGACAATTAAAGAATTAGCTGCGCCTAATGCACACTATCAAAATTTGTGCATTCAATATCCTAATTTAGATGAAAATGCTAGTTTTGAATTGAAATCTGGTATAGTACATTTGCTACCTAAATTTCATGGTCTTGCAGGAGAGGACCCGAATAGGCACTTGAAGGAATTTCATATTGTGTGCTCCACCATGAAGCCTCAAGGAGTTTCAGAAGAACAAATCAAATTGAGGGCTTTTCCTTTTTCATTGGATGGAGTTGCAAAAGATTGGTTATATTACTTGCAACTAGGTGCCATTACCTCTTGGGATCAAATGACACAGTTATTCTTAGAAAAATTCTTCCCTGCCTCTCGCACAGCAGCAATTAAAAAGGATATTTGTGGGATTCGTCAATGACTGGGGAGACATTTCATGAATATTGGGAAGATTTAAGAAATTATGTGCCAGCTGCCCTCACCATCAAATACCTAATCAGCAGCTGGTTCAACATTTTTATGAAGGTCTCTTACCAACAGATAGGTGGTTTGTTGATGCCGCAGCTGGTGGTGCTTTGGTAGAACTTACTCCAACTGATGCCATGAATCTCATTTCTAAGATGGCACAAATTCTCAACAATTTGGGACGCGAGCTAACCAAGCAGTTAAGGGGGTGAATGAGATTCCAACACCACAATATGATCCTAAATTTGAGAACAAGATGGAGGAGCTCTCTAGCGTGGTTCGGCACATTGCCTTAACACAACAAAAATTAATGAATTCACCAGCAGTGCCAACTTTTCCACAGGCGTATCCCTCACAGACGTGTGCACAACCTCAATTTTATAATCCTCAGCAAGCTACCACATCTTCTGCTTTAGTTGGGCCTCTATGTGGCATCTGTTTTTTGGCCACACACACTACTGACCAATGCCCACAGTTGGATGATAGAGTTGAGAATTGTGCTGGGATTTTTCCAACTAGACCTATGCAACAGGGCCAAAAATATGATCCTTTCTCTAACACTTATAATCCAGGGTGGAGAGATCACCCTAATTTCAATATGGAGGAAGCCAACAACAACAATATAATGCTACAGGTCAAAATTCACAGCCTATGCAACCAATGAGGCAATCCACTCTTATTCAAGAGTCTAAAAATGATGGACCAAGTCTAGAAGAGTTAATGAAGCAAATGGCAACTAATAACATTCAATTTCAACAACGCACTGAGACAGTAATCTAAAAATTAGAGAATCAAATTGGGCAGTTGTCCACCTCCATTAATGAATTGAAGAGTCAAGGTTCTGGAAAGTTGCCTTCTCAAACAGTTGTAAATCCTAATTACAGTAATGTTAGTGCCATCACTCTTAGAAGTGGAAAAGAACTTCCAGAGCCCTCCACAACATCTATCAAGAATAAGTCAGCTGCAGCAACACAAGTCACACTTGAGGAGTCTAATGAAGAAAAGGAACCAAGGAAGATCCTTCCATTTCCAAAT